TACTCGCTTGGGTGACGGTGCCCGTCTGATGGGGCTGCGCTTGTGGGGAAGGGGTAGCGCTCGAAGGACACCACTGGCGCGAGCGTATGCCAGGTGCGGTGGGGGCCTGCGAAGTTTGTATTTGTTAGAGGGGCTGGGACTCGTGGGCGCTGAGACCCAGCAAACTTTTGAGGTAGACTACCAGGATGTCGGACTCTTTAAAACGACTGAAACCTTAAAAACGAACTTGAGAGGAGGGGCACACTACTACAAGACTGAAAAAAGCGAAAGGGAAAGGTGCTCGAAGTTGAAAGACGAAGACCAAAAGAGAGCAGCTTGGTGTAGCTTGATCGCCTACGAACTCCTCGGCTCCCCTCTTTATTCTTGTAGTTCACGGGTTCTCTCAGGCACCTCGGCAGTGAGCGGATTGCCATTGGATGAGCGACGGCGCTTGGCCTTTTACCCATGGGATCTGGGGGCTTCTGCAGTTAGTGACTTCGCGGCTTCGAGGTGGTGCCGCATCGCCAGCATTTGGGCAAGCTCTCACTCCGATGGCCAAACTCTCGCCACAAGTCCCACTTGAAACACCCAGGCAGGCTCTATCGGTCCAGCTGGCCCTCCATGAGGCTCGCGACTTGGCTCGACTTGCCTGGCCTCCAAGCTTTCTAGCTAACTAGGCTGGCTAGCTTCAGCTGCCTTGAGCCTAATACTTCTCAAAAAGTTTAGTGGTTTAGAGTGTGAGTAGGTTTTTACGTTCCATAAGTGCGCGATCGAGTAGATTTAGACGAGGCCCCTTCACTGATCTAGCGCATCGCGTGTTGGTTCGGTTCTCGGGGTGTGGCGTTGTTTCTGTGGGGTGTATCTGATTGCGTCCACCCCCGTCGCCGTTGCCCTTGCTTTATCGCTGTAGGCGGTTCGTAGCGGTTGCCGCCGTGCTTAACCGTTTGCGCGTTTTTCTTTTTAGTGCCTGGCCGTCGTGCTTCAGGCTTCCCGCTGGGTAGTTGCATGCTCGTAGTGCGGGAAATTGTAGACACAGGCAACAAAAAAAAAGTCGCCGGCGTCGTCCACTGGGTAAGCGACAGCGAGTGCGCTGCCCTTTTTTCTCTTCGTCTTTTTGCTTGTCAAAAGGCCTGGCGGCTTATCGTAAAGCGGTGAGCAGCGTGAGCGTGAGGGGTGAGGGCCGTCGCAGTGGCTGAGCTTTTGAGCAGAGTAAAGGTAAACTGGGTGCCTCCATCTGCTACATCAGTCTACTCTGATGCCAAACGCCACGACGTAGAGCTCTTGCACTTAGACTCCCTCGGGCAGGGCATCGCTTTCAATATGATATCTAGTGTGTCTTTGTAGATAGTCAGCGCCGCTCGTCCGCCTCTGATCTTTGCCGACCACATCCCATTCTGTTTCTGCGTTGTGGCTGCAAGTATTGCCTGAAGAGGTTGGGCTGCACTTATTTGCCCTCGTCGTATGCTTGAGACTAACCTTAAAACCCAAGAAGCGATGGCCATTGTTCGAGGCTCACCGCACAAAGCTCACTGGCATCAGTCTAATTCCAATCCGCTCAAAGCCTAGAATGAAAGGTGGACACGCTTCAGGATCAGGAGCGCACACCATTCGAATCACCTGACCACATTCAGACTCAAAGCCAGAGCGGCGCTGGTTTAATGTCTCATGGACTGCTCGACGCGATGTTTTGGGAACAAGGTGGGAACGTTTGGAAAGTTGACAGCAATGAAAACGGAAAGGCAGTCAAGGTCGGCCCAGTTTTATGGGTAATGTAATAGCCTCCGCCTCGACGCCTCGCTATCCCGTTTGATTGTCATTGGCTCACTTTGGCTACTTAGTACAAGCAAAGCCGGGCGGGCTTTGTGATAAGTAGGCTCTTTTACGTCGTGTTACATTATTTTATACGCTGTGATATAGGCCCTTATGCTTCTAACGTGAGCTAGTGCTAGAGAGGGTGAGGGGTGTGCAATACGAAGCGCGTGCCATGGCTTCCAGCTCGACAGGCAGAAGCAGATGCGCGGGGCATGTGTTGCGCTTCTGGTTTCAAGTTGGCCTATCGAGCAAAAGATCGCGCCAAAAACGCTGGAGGCGTATGTTGTCAAGCATGTCGAAACCCCCAACACAGAAACGAGCAGGACGACGCCGGAGCGCCTTTATGTCCTGGATTCTAGACGCCTGGGCCTCTCGATTCGTGTCTGGTCTCATTTTGATTTTCGCCGCGTTGTGTTTCAATTTGCCCGCAAGGAAGTAGAGGCTACTTACTTTCGAGGTAGCAGTCGTGACGCCGAAAGAGTTTAGAAAGTAAGCATGCGCGGCGTGGCTCGTAGACGTGTCGTCTAGCTTCCCCAGCGAAAAAGTGTTGAGCAGCATGCCACCCACCGCGTGAGGCGTATCTATTTGCCTTCACTCTTTAGCTGTTCTTGGAGTATCGGAGGCATTTTCTTGCCCCTGCTCCTGGAATGTCCTTGACGTGTCGCGGGTTTTTCCTTGCCCTTGTCTCCTTTTTGTCCTTCTTCTTCGTTCTCCTTCTTCTTCTTCTTCTTCTTCTTCTCGTCTTCCGTCTTCTGCTTCTTCTATCTCCTCGCTCTTCTTCTCCTCCTTCCTCTGCTTCTTCTGCTCCTTCTTCTGCTCCTTCTTCTGCTTCTCCTTCTGCTCCTCCTCTTGCTTCTTCTGCTTCTCCTTCTGCTTCTCCTTCTGCTTCTCCTTCTGCTTCTCCTTCTGCTTCTCCTTCTGCTTCTCCTTCTGCTTCTCCTTCTGCTTCTCCTTCTGCT